TTTGTGTCTTGTGCTCGCTGTCTGGCAAAAGTTCACGCCTTGGGGGTACTGAGGGGCAGGTTGCATGCATGAATAATATCCGTGTTTTCGGCCGCCCACCAAAAGGTAATATTGAAAGATTACACAAAGTCCTTCGGTGTCTCAGTGATCTTGATTTACGTCTGAACTAAAAATTGTCAATTCGATGTCCCTGAAATTCAGTTTCTGGGACACATCATGTCGGCTGGAGGCATTCGATCAAGCAACGAAACATCCGGGCCATCAGAAGCGCCAACACCCAAGAACGTCCTAGAACTGAAGTGCTTTTTTGGGAATGTGTTCCTACAAGCTGTGCTATTTGCAAAATTGTGTAATCCTAGCAGATCCATTACGGCAACAAACAAAGAAAGGAGTGTCGTTCACTTGGGGAAGCGACGAGCAAAACGCTTTCGATGAACTAAAAGTAGGGTCGCATGTGCTCCCTTAGTTGCGATTTTTAATGAAGCATGCCGCACTTCTGTGTCGACTGATGCTTCTGATGTTGGTCTTGATGCTGTTCTATCACAGCTGCAAAGCAGAGAGGAAAATCTTGTCGCTTAAGTATCCCAGAAACTCTCAGATTCGGACGGCTCTTATTCAATCGTGGAGAAAGAAGCTTTTGCTTGTGTGTGAGCTTGTGAAAACTGGCGTCTCCTGTTCGGCTGTCGTTTCACTTTACGAACTGATCAGTCCCCCCTTACAGTCCTCCTGAGCAATGGATCTTTTAAGGGATCGGTCCATGGATCACCTACCCAGCCTCAAACTCTGTGTGAACCCCAGGCCGAATCGCCGCTATTGTGAAGTCATCCATGCCGTTCTACTAGACCTTCGAAGCCGGTCGATCGACACGAGCCCGCGTGAAGCAGCTCTTTCAAATTAGGTGGTGGTGGTTGTTGTGGCCGCTTCACCACCATGTTACAACTCGTTAAATTAGCCAGCTGAAACACAGCAACTCTCTTCTCATTAGCAGTGTAAAACTCGGACGTTTACAAGTGAATATTCCCTATGCTGAGTCTGTTACCTTTGAATGAATACGGATACACGTCCTGCCATTTCGGTTGCTTTCTTGCTAAAACATCGTGTGATATTGCTCACCGTTTTTTAGTTCTCATTCGGATATTCAACAAAGTCGACAAAGCTGAAACTATAGACCAACCAACACATCAATCATATATCCCTCGTTGCTAAGTACATGATTCATCACTGATGACTTGTTATTTGTTCTAAACCGAGTGCGCAAAGTGACGAGACTGTAAAGCGAAACACTAGTATTTAGCGCTTGCAAATCGGCTTTGAACAGCTCCCCGATCGTGGCAGGTGTCTCCATTTAATGTATGATGAACTCACATAAAATCAAGCTGTGAGTGTGTTTGGAAAGTACTGAGAAAACCTGTAGCTCGGGGTGTGGATGAAAGGATTGTCCTATTCTCCCAGCTGGGCATTTCTGTTGCAGACGTTTCGTTACCAAACTAGGCAACATCTTCAGTGCGGCTATTCAGTCCTGATTCGTGGAGTCTCGCAAACAAATGCCAGATCCGAGCGACTATTGATTGTTGTCTGCTTCGAATGTCAGCCTCCGATCGGTTCACGTGAGTCGGTCGAGTGAGCACCTCTTCTCCTTGTCGATCTGGTGCCTAATGCTGACTTAACCTGCAGAGCTTCATAGACATCCTCCAGCTCCATGTGTTTGTTGATTGAGTTCCGGCCAGAATGCCAGGCCTCGAGGAACTCACGCGCTCTGCGGTTTCTTGCTCTTCCAAGTATTTCAATGTTCTCCAGATCGAACTGATGGTTCTCGGCATCCATGTGCACTGACATTAAGGATTTCTCATCGCGGCGGCGGATGGCCAGACTATGTTCGTGCAGTCTTGTGCCAAGTTTTCTTCCAGTCTGGCCCACATAGTACTTGTCACAGTTCTTGCAGGAGATTTTTAAACCACACCGGCTGTTTGTCTTACACAGTTTGTCCTTTCCCTTGAAAAGTTTACTTCGTATAGTTTCCGTTGTTTCGTGTGCAACAGTTATCCCGTGAGGCATTAGAAGTCTCGCTGCCATTTCAGAAATCCCATGGATGTAAGGTAGGATAATCGTTCTACTTTCTGTTGCACATGTGGAGGCGGGTGGTGACTGGCTCTTTGGCATCAGGCAGCGTAGAATAAGGCTTCTAGGGTCCGAATTTCGCTGAAACATGTTAAATAGTTGGTCCTCCTCCGCCTTCCTCAGTTGCGGCGTGCTACAATGTGTCTGGGCCCGTTTGAAAAGCGTCCTCACGCAACTTCGCTTGTATGTGGTTGGATGGTTACTGCGATAGTTTAAGATCTGATCTGTGTGGGTCGCTTTCCGATAAACTGTTGTTTCCAGTGACCCAGAAGCATGTCTTCTCACGAGCACGTCCAAGAATAGCAACTGATCATTGTTCTCTTCCTCTTTGGTGAAATGGATGCCGGAAAAATATTGTTGATTAGTTGATGTGATTCTTGTAGTCTGGAGCGTTTGAGGATGACAAAAGTATCATCTACGTAACGTACCCAAAGTTTGGGCTCCACTATTGGCAATGCCTTCTCTTCCAAGCTTTGCGTCACTGCTTCCGCTACCGTTCCAGAGATTGGCGATCCCATTGGCGTACCCGTTATCTGTTTGTACATTTGACCGTTGAAAGTGAAATGTGTGGTGAGACAGAAATCAAGCAACTCCATCATTTGTGTGGCTTCCATTCTGCTGCTGGTATTTACGGCTCCGTGTCGTTCAAGCAGAGTTCTCATTGTTTGCCTCGCCGGCTTCGAGTCAATTGATGTGAACGAAGCTGTGACGTCAAATTAGACCATCATCTCGACTCTTTCTATTGTTATTCCCTTAAGTTTTTCAAGAAATTGTTCTGCCGAGGGGATAGAGTGCTCTGAGCCCGCTATTAGGTGTTTCAATCGTTTCCAAAGTTCCTTAGACAGCTTGTAATTTGGTGTCCCTTGTAATGACACGATAGAGCGAAGCGGTATCCCATTTTTGTGTACTTTAGGTAGGCCGTAGAACCGTGCTAGAACTGAATCCTCGGGTTTCCTCTTACTGTGTTCTAACTTCGTGATCTGTCCCATTTGTTCCAATCTTTGAAGAGTTTTGTTGATCTTGCTTTCCAGACGTTTTGTAGGGTCTTCACTTATTGGCTGGTAGTGTTCAAGTCTTCGAGCGGTTCTTATGCTTTCTTCAGTAGGCAGATTTGTCCATTATTACAGTGAGACGTCCCTTGTCAGCCGGTAATATAACAATAGTTGTGTCTTCTGAGGTTTGTCAGAGCCTTTCGTTCGCTTACACTGAATATGTTGGTTTCCACTTTGTGACTCAGAGCGGGGATGATGCTGTGTCTAATTGCATTTTGGGCTTCAGTTGCGATGTTTGATGTGGTCAGCGTTGATTCAGGTGCGGCAAGGAAATCAATGGGATTGGAATCTTTGCAATTGACTTGCAAACCTCGCACAATAACTGCTCTTACTGTATTTGATAGGGTTCGTTTGGATGGATTTTTAATACTGATATCGAAGAGCCAGTCACCTCCCGCGTCCACATGTGCAACAGAAAGTAGAACGATTATCCTACCTTACATCCATGGGATTTCTGAAATGGCAGCGAGACTTCTAATGCCTCACGGGATAACTGTTGCACACGAAACAACGGAAACTATACGAAGTAAACTTTTCAAGGGAAAGGACAAACTGTGTAAGACAAACAGCCGGTGTGGTTTAAAAATCTCCTGCAAGAACTGTGACAAGTACTATGTGGGCCAGACTGGAAGAAAACTTGGCACAAGACTGCACGAACATAGTCTGGCCATCCGCCGCCGCGATGAGAAATCCTTAATGTCAGTGCACATGGATGCCGAGAACCATCAGTTCGATCTGGAGAACATTGAAATACTTGGAAGAGCAAGAAACCGCAGAGCGCGTGAGTTCCTCGAGGCCTGGCATTCTGGCCGGAACTCAATCAACAAACACATGGAGCTGGAGGATGTCTATGAAGCTCTGCAGGTTAAGTCAGCATTAGGCACCAGATCGACAAGGAGAAGAGGTGCTCACTCGACCGACTCACGTGAACCGATCGGAGGCTGACATTCGAAGCAGACAACAATCAATAGTCGCTCGGATCTGGCATTTGTTTGCGAGACTCCACGAATCAGGACTGAATAGCCGCACTGAAGATGTTGCCTAGTTTGGTAACGAAACGTCTGCAACAGAAATGCCCAGCTGGGAGAATAGGACAATCCTCTCTCGGGTGTGTTTTCCCTTTAGTGTGTATCTTAGAGGACCCTGAGGTGGCAGTCCGTTTCGGGTTTATAGTTTGCGTGTTGGTACACCAAGGCTATAAGGCAAGTCTCTCTGCCACCTCACTGTAGACGGCAACAAAGAGAATCGGGGAACTACTATTCTAGAATCTTCATGGCCTTGCACTCTATGCGCTTTTGATAATGAAGGATCACCCCCTCCATGGGTGGGTTTGTCGTTTCGGTTGACCCACTTGTCCGGTAGTAAGATTTTAGCGTAATTATGTGTAACCGAGTCTCCATGGCACCGGTCAGAGCGCGTTGTGTGTGAGACAGTTATGCTGCAGTTTGGAAATTCGGGTTTGTATTGTAACCGCAGAAGGTTGGCCGCTTCGTCGTCACTTAGTACTCTGGTACCTGTTGTGATAAGTGGGGTGAAGCTATGCTTTATCTTACGATGGCTGTTGATATGCCTATACTATAGCCTTTGTTGACCAGAAACCATTTTGTTAGAGAGTGTTACTAAATGATACGGTCTCGATGGGCAAAGGTAGTACAATGGTTGGGATGGATTATGAAGCTCTTCAACGTTTCGGAATCTAAATTCGCATGGTGCTCATGCAGTGTTGCAGTTCTTACTTCCACGTAATTTCGAGTCCTGCTTCTCAGAATATTGCCCGCGATATACTTAGGTTGAAACCCATTGACATATTTCTCACTTCATTCCATATAGGTTGGTCTTTGTCGTCCTGGAGATTACAACACGGATGTGGCACATCTAAATTTACATAAAACATGTGGAATCCCCAAAGGTGGAGGAGGTCCAGGAGTTGGTCCAGTCTGCGTCAAATCTCATCTCGCTCCTTTCCTACCTCAGCACTACTGGCGCCCGACTTGCTTGGGAGTGCGTGCAACAAAGCAAACCTCTGATCCAGATTGGAGGACCGTTTGCTCTGCTCCGTTTGGTTCAGCCAGCCTTCTTCCTATTCCTTGGGCCTACATCAAGCTTTTGGGACCCAAGGGTAAGTCTTCAAATAATGTCCCTGTCACTACAAATGAAGAGGTTTGAGGTGTTAACTTGCTTGCCGAGCGGGGAAAGTTCCTATCACACGGTTTATCACCAATTGGATTGGCATCTCCAATGTGCAGTAGTAGTAGTAGTAGTGGTGGTGGTGGTGGTGGTGGTGGTGGTGGTGGTGGTGGTGGTGGTGGTGGTGGTTCTTCTGATAATAAGCATCTAGCCTTGTACTAAGAGTTTAACACTACAGTTTCATCCAACCGCAGTTATGATTTCCTCCAAGGTTTATTAATGAAAACAGATGAGTATTCTCTAAAAACCACCAGTCCACCAGTATCTGGTGCCACATATTCAAACAGTTTGTCTCGAAAACAGTACTTTGTGGGAGGTCATGTCCTACCACACCCACAAGTGAACTCGGAACCGCACTTTTCGACAAGTCGAACGATATGCATAACTTTCCGCTCTATAACGAATAACGGCACCGTAGAGTTATCCCGGTCATTTGTGCACTTGAAGCATACTAAGCTCATTCAGTCAGCTAGAATACCGTCTTGTCTTACTGATTATACACAGCTAGACGTTACGTGTGGTGGCCAGGCAAATCGTTGGCACTGCGCTGTAAATTTCCCAATAGTTTATCTTTTGAAAATGTCTGTGAACTTAGGTTTGGCTGAATCGATTAGCAAGTTCGACGCACGCGCTCCATGATAGAGCGTAGTGAAGTCTCCTAGATGAGTGACTTCGCTAGTTATTCAGTGAAAAGTCCATTGTTTAGGACAATCAGGAGTTTGACATTACCGTCAAGCATTCATCCGAGGTGTGACGAATAGCTGGCTAATCAATAGCCCCGCCAACTCTCTTCACATTCGAAAGTTAGGAAAGACAATATTTTACTCAGTTGGGTCCAGTTGTTTGCTTGGACTGTTAATTTGGTGTAAAATCCTTGATGATGCTTGAAACGAAGCACAACTTTAGAGTTACGCTACTGTGTGCAGATGACAATGGTTATACTTATCGCCCAGTGCTTTCAGTGTCACATTTACACTCTCTCCTCTGCTGTGTGAATAGGTCTTCGGCGGGCTTCCGAAGTGGCAATTCTCAACGCCAACTACATGCTTCAGCGATTGAAGAAACATTACCCGATTAAATTTGTTAATGACAATGGATGTTGCGCACACGAATTCATCATTGACTGCTCTGGCTTTGAGAAATATCACATAACGACAGTGGATGTTGCCAAGCGCCTGATGGACTACGGTAAATCATTAACAACTTTTTTGAGTTACTTGGGTGTTGTTGCAGTTTTGGTTCTTAAAATGGTAGATCCAGTTGGGTGTACTACTTGTCCCATTTATAGAGATGTTAGATGAAAACATTATGCACTAACTGAAGAATCGTTCGTTCCCAGTAGTAATGATATGAAGCAGTGGACAGCCATTTTCTGAAATCATATGTAACTAGTATGGCCATGTTGAACATGCCAACTTCCCGTGCAGTTCACCTCGGTTCATTATTATTCCTTACCAATATTAGTGAAGCAATCATTTAGCAGGTATAAAAGCAAATGATAGACAAGTCCTGTTGGATGGTTGGGCTGAAAATTACAAATAAAAACATAGTGTCGGCAAAACTACGCGCGAGATGTATGACTTGCCAAGAGGTTTGCAGTAACACAGGTTTGAGTTTAGGATTACGACACCTCCCACGCTTTGTTCCGCACCAACACCATCATCCAATGCTCATGGGAGGTACCACGAGATGTAGGTTCTAGCTGTGTGGAGGCGAGTAATAGCACCTATTTACAACGGGGGTAATCATGCTGGGCCCACTAACTACAGCATCGTTACATTTTTTCTGTGCTTACTAAAGTCGTGGTATCCATTATTGCAGTGGCATTTATGGAATATTAGGAAGGATGCTGTGTCATCGGCTTCCACCGCAACTGCTTTTGTACCAGGAATCTTCCGTTGACAAGTGCCAGCTAGAAGGAATCCGTCGATTTTGGGCTAAGGAGTTGACGTTACCTAGCTTGATTAGTCGATGGCCGCTGGTCGTCTGGATCACCACGGCTTTGTTACAAGCTTCAGAGCTATGTGCTCGATAACCGTATCCTGAGCTGGGTGCATTCATTCCTGCTTCAACCCTGTTTGAAGGTACGAGTTTACGTCGCTCTGTCCGATCCCATAGAGGTTCCCTGTGGCGTCTCTTAACGCTCGGTAGTAGGACAACGGCCATTTCTTGTGTTCATAAACGACCAATCGGGTGTGTTGATGTGAAACTTTCTACACTTTGCGGACGATCCAAAGGTTTAACGTGTAGTGAAGCGAGTAGACGACTACATAGTACTGCAAGCTGATTTTATGAGTGGTCGACTCAGAGCATGGTCTGACTTGGCGATGTTAGCTGTAAAATAATGAGCATACGCCACCAAAGCACCTACAACTATTGAATAGGAGTGCATGTTTTGTAGTTGAAGTCTGATGAATTTGATCTTGAGATACCCGTGCAAGACGAACCCTGATGCACAAGACAGGCCAAAAGGAGTAGAAACTGCCAGCCAACAATTGGGCCAAATGTGGACGGCGTTTGGCCGGTTTAATTGCACCCTCTTTTCGCAGAAACTGAACACTTACTTGAGGCCACATGTAGAAGAAGCCATCTATGTGCGGCATCATTATCAAAAAAATGGCCTCGCTGCTCTTGGGAATCTATAACGGAGGAATGTTAAAATAATAAAATGTTCCACCATCTCCTTTATCAGGTTTCATTAACAAGCCAACGAAAACTACTGTCTTCAGCAGGGTGTTCTCACATTGGTGTATCAGTTCCTCAAGGATCCTAACCCATGCCGAATCTTATTGAAACTCAGTCACAACATCTCACTGAGAGGCCACAACATGAAGTTGGCGGTACAGTATCCCCATCATCATCATTATCAACAGCAGTGCATCAGCCGTTTGAACTGGTGCTTCGCTGCCATACAACGACGACGACCTATGAAACAAAGAATAATAAGGGGGAGAGAAGGGGGACTTACCTGAAAACCTTAATGCCCTAAACAAACATTCAGGGCCAAGGCGCCTACACCGTCTCAAACAGCTGGCTATCGTGCAAAGATAAGGCGGCATCGGCGAGACAGCTTCCTTGCGGCTTTCACTGCCCCGCATCATAATCAGCCATTACCCCGCAGATAACTCAGCACCAAACACACTTTAAACATGCAATCCGATTAGGAGATGGCAGCAAACGCGCCACTGGTGTCGGTTGCGAGTCATGTCCTGTAAAGTCGCGAGCTAATCGCAATGCGAGTCACGTGGACTCCAGCCCGGAAGGTGAGACGGACTAACGGCACCCAGTTTGGTCGTCGGTAACTTCATTTCACGCTGCCAAGTCAACTTCTGTCCACCTCGAGATTCGCGCCACCCTACAGCTGGCAGACTAAACAAGACCCTCCTAGTTAAGCGGTGACCAGGCGTACGTAGCACGTGTCCGAACCAGCCCAATCTATTCAGTGCTATCGGTCGTCCTAGGGAGCTAGTATGTTTATCACTACCTAGTACTCGCCTACGCACATCGTCGTTGCGGACACGTTTGTGCCATCCGACACCGGCAATGCGTCGCAGACAACGATGATCAAAGACTTAAAGGCGCCTCAGATCTTCAGACTGAAGGGGCCAAGTCGCACTCCCATAGAGCAGAACGGCCCTCACTGTGGCCTTGTATACACGGCCTTTCAAACGAAGGAAAACTCCCTTCTGTCGCCAAGGATGCCGCCGGTTCAAGAAGGCAGCTCTGGCCTTTGCAATGCGTGAGCTGACGTCAGTTTCTATGCACCCATCCTTGCTGTTGCAGCTGCCAAGATAAGTGAAGTGATCAATCACCTCGAGTTCCTCGTTAGCAAGGGTCAAAGGGTCATCAAGTGGCCGGTGGTTCTGCAGCAACACTTTGCAATTTGAAGGTAAAAACAAAGCGCATACCAAATAAGGGGCTCACTCTAGACAGGCTATTTAGGGTTGATTGTGCCGCACCAACATCGTCGAAAAGCAAGACGATATCCTCCGCATAATCTAAGTCAACTAATATTTCCCAAGGCAGCACTTCAACACCTACATCGTAAGGTTCCGCAAAGGAACACTCCATGATAGAATCCACGACGAAATTGAACAAGAATGGGGAAATCGGACAACCCTGACGAACGCCACTTGTGGTCGGAAAGCTATCCGATGAGCCACCGTAGACCCTGACGCAGCCTGTAGTGTTCGAGGATAGAGCACATGGGAGGTTCACATATTTCGTTGGAACACTTTTCCGCGCAAACTGCTTCGAACAGAAACGATCGATCGAGCAAATCGAATGCAAGCTTGAAATCAAGGAACACAGCTATTGTCGGTCTGCGGTATGCCTGGCGCTGCTCTGGCACCTGCTGCAAAGTGTGTATATGGTCTATACAGCCACGCCCTGGGCGGAAACCTGTCTGCTCTTCCCTACTCCGAGATTCTTGCGGCACAGTAGCTGAGGTGTTCCCCACGTCTAGCTAACGTGTATGATGATGATGACTCCGAGATTCTCGTTCCACAGTGAGGCGACAAACAAGAATTGAGGCCAGTAATTTTGTCACAACTGGCGTTAGGCTACTACCACTTTGGTTAAAACAGTCGGTGCAACTACTGGTTTGGTATATTGCTACTATAATCGATTCGTTCCAATCAGCCGGGACACTCACTTCATTCCAGATATGTTCGAATAGGGCGGTCAGTGCTTTGTAGAGGACCTCACCTCCATCCTTAACTATTACAGGTAAGAGGGGATCCGGCCCAGCGGCACGAAAACGATTGAGGACTGTGATCGCGTTTCGGACCTCGGCCTCCGACGGAGGCTCTAAACCAACCGTCCATGGCTCGTCCTGCATCACCTGAGTAGGAAGAGGTCAGGAGCAGGGGGCCAGCTGAACTGATGTTCAAAGTGCTCAGCCCAACGAGCCATACGGCGCTCCTTATTGTGTATCAGCGCACCCGCGCTGTCCCTGATTGTCTCACTGACGCCTGGTTTTCTGGGACCAGTGGTGTGGATTAGCTGGAAGAGCTTGCGGTAATTGCCTACTATTCCCGCCTCCTCCATTTCTTGCGCCCGACTGGTCCACCAGGCTTCCTTGTCAGCACGCAGGCTCCGCATTAGTTCGCGCCTAATAACCCATCTTGTCATATTGTGTGCAGAGCCAGCCGGGAGGTTTCTTCTAGATTCCAACAGGTTCACAGATCTCTCGGGTATCCAGTGACTGGTGCCGTGACCATTGATAGTGTCACAGGCAGATGCTCCTGCGTCGTGCATGGCGGCCGAGATCTATTCCACTGAAGCTCAGTGTCATTAGAACAAGACAGTTCGTTATGTAGTGCGTCTTAATAAGCTTGCCTGACCGAGCGCTGACACAGTTTGTTAGTTTCCAAACAGAGGGGACGCTTGGTGCGCCTCCCGGTAAAGTTCATGAAGAAACGACAGCGTACCAAGGCATGATCAGACATGACGCAGGTACTCCAGTACGAGCGGCAATCCATGATGGAACCACGCCATCTGTAACTTATGGCTATGTGGTCAATTTGGGTCCATCGCTGGCCAGCTACAGGAGGACGCCAAGTGGCACTTCGATGCCCACTGTGTCTAAAAGCAGTGCTACTAGGAAACAACTGGTGCTCCGCACACAGTTGCGGCAGACGCTCACCGTTGTCAGTCCGTTCGGAGTTAAGCCAACATTTAACACCTAGCTGAGCTTCTGAAGAGCTCAGACGCCCTACTTGTGGGTTCATATCCCCTGCAAGTACTATAATATCTGAACTAGTAGCACTGTGTAGTGGCGGGTTCAGTTCGTGATAGAATGTGTCCTTGATGGCATTCGAACTGCACTCGGTGGGGGCAGAAGCGGGAATCCCAACGAAACAACGTTTTGTACTACTTCGTGAATCCACCTTGGCTGATGTTGTCAAACGGACTGCACATAAACGGCTGTTCACCGGAATCCAATCAACCAACCATGACTCAGCTTTGGAGCTTAGAATGATACCTACACCAGCTTAACCTGTGAGTGATGCATCGGCGTCTCCGGATGCGTGCAACCAACAACGAGAGGATAAGCCGGGTGCACTTAATTCAATAACCCATAAGGGTCACTGATCCTAGTTCCGGACACGCAACACACATTAATACCCAGTGTGTCCAAGGTGCGTGCGAGTGCAGCCTGTTGACCTTACTTGTCTTAGAGTGCG